TAAGTGAAAACAAAATAGACTGAGACTTTGAAGATTGGATACTAGAGGGAACTAGAGGACTAATTGTATTGAAGAGGACAATTGAACAAACAATGGAGCAAATCAATCTTGGGACTCTATTTGAAAGGGTTAAGGAGAAGATTCTTAAAAGTACAGAGAAGGAATGTAACATTGGCTTATTTGATCAAGGTTAAGTTTGATAATTAGTTATCCTTACTGAGCTTTTGTTGATATGGATTGAATGGTGAGGTATTTGGATTCTGTTTTTAGTTTACAAATGAAACATGGGATGAAGAGAATGTATGTTATAATTTAAAGGATGGTGATAAATTACTTAAATTGTACTTGTGATAAAGGGGGGAAGTTATTTCTTTCTTTTCTTTTCTTTTTTACCATCTCTTTTCCTGAGGCATACTTGACAATTGAGAAAGCCAAAGCAGGTTAAGAAGTAAGCCTCAAGACATACTTTCTAAAAAAGAAAAAGTGTCACATAAGGGAAGAGATGGGAAAAAGGAGAAAGATAAAACAAGTTACAACTTCATATCATAATAAGCTAGGATGAAAGCACTTCAGGCAACACGACAGTATGGCTGCCAGTCACATAACATCTGGGAAGCACCAAAGGCAGCCATTCTCTCAAGAGAACCAGTGGAACAGCTCTGCTTGACATCTCTCCCTCTGCTTCATGGGGGCGAGGGGAGCGGAAATCTCTTGTCATATTTTAGGCATTTTTATTACCTATATTTTGCTGTATTCTTTTTGCTCCATAGGAATTTAAATCTATAGTTAAACCTGTCACCTGCATTCATGTCAAATATTAGCTTACCTTGTCAATATTGATTGAGTTATTGTCAGGATTAATGATTGTTCACAAGATTGCAAAATTTCTGCTTGCCTGTCTCCTACTAATCCAGTTGCATAATTTCTTATATGGAATCTCTGGAGGTTGCCTTTGCCTCAGAAGGAATAGGAGAGGGTTAAAAGATAACTTTCCCCTTTTTCTTTTTTAGAAAGTTTGTCTCAAGGCTTTCTTCCTAACCTCTAAGGTCCCTCTAGGAACCTTATTCATTGTTTTCAGTAATTGAAAAAAGTGGATGGACAGAAGGATGAGATTTCTGAGGTTGGATTCCCCACCCCTCATCCCTCAAGATTAGAGCTTTTGCTTTGAGGTTGATCCCAAAATATGGTACCATTGCTGGGATACATTTCATAGATATATATCAAGGGCATATGTTGAAGTCCGATATAAATGCATTGTTGGGTTCACTGTAGCAGTGTGCTATTTTCTCATTCTGGAGTTTACGAAGCAGGACTAGTCAAAATGGTGGAAATGGAAACCCAAGCAGGGATTCAGTCATGACTTCCAAGTACTCACGGGAGCTCAGCCCCAAGCCAAATGGCTTGATACAAACAAGCTTTCAGTCACAATGGTTACCTCAGACTGCTCCAAATAAAAGCCAGAGAGTATGCTAACATGCAAACAAGATTCAGAGATTGTTTCAGTAAAAATCTCCTCCATAGAGATTTCAAATAGGCTGCAATTCTGTCCAGATGGCTAACAACACTGTCTCCATGATTTTGGCTTCATTTCCATGCCAAGTTTTGTTAGAGTTGATACTGATGGCATGGGGGTGGGAGGAGAAATTGAATCAATATATAAAAGGGTAAGAATAGTTATAGTGCATACAAATTTATTATGGGAGCTTATCAGGAGTTAGTCAGTGACATCATCAGAATAAGCTATCAAGACCGATGTGTCACAAACATCACTGCATCAGAAAACCTACTGGATATACTAGTAGGTCCTAATGCCATGAGAAAAGACATTATTAGGTCATGGACTTCTACTGAATATGACCACATTTTGATATTTCACTTTGATAAAAACCACCTATCAGTTCTCATTTTAACTTAATACTGTATATTATAATTACAGTCATGGTTGCTACACCTAGGTGTTCATTTAGGGTAAGCCCTTCCCTACTCTGACGTTTCCTTACAGTTTATCACACAAGGATCGCAATTGCAGGGTTATGACAAATGGTGACATCATTACTTTTCAGTAGTTAGAGCCAACAGCCAGCTTCTACATTAAACATATAAAACTAGTTTCTTTGGAGGTTGTTCTCTGAGAGGAGATTTTGATGAGCAAAAAAAAAAAAAAAAAAGACAGAGATTGTGGACTCCCTGTTCAAATCACGTATCTGGGTTCATTCTTCCGTTGTGTGGAAACAACATTAATGCTGGACTAAAACATATGTCTACTATATAGCAGATTAGAATGATTGTGAATTATGTCGGGCTGCAGGGCAGTTTGCTAAAGGTGTGGTGATTTTAAATCAGCCAGGGCCAGGAATCTTCATCCTTTCATTCTACCCGTTGCATTTTGTTTATGGGCCTTCACTTTGTTAGATAATTCTGCCCCCTCCTCAGAATTTATATCTTAATACTGTTACCTTCTCCTGCTCTAATAATCTCTCCAATAACTTCTATAGCAATATTTATCTCTTTCGGTTTCCCTATTATAAATCAGTTGCTCCTGCCTGTGGTAATTTTTAAATCTTTTCAGGGCATGTTGCTTAACCAGCTGGTAGCTACTAAGCTTTTGCTGTGGGAATATAGATTTCTAAAATGGCAGTTTCCCAAATCATGCCTTTCTCTAACAGTCTTTTGTACCATTTGCCCCCCCTCCCCCCCCAATAAGCTTCTCTTATGGACAGTGACCCTTGTGTGTTTGTGTGAAGTAAATCAGTCTAATGAAAGCAACCTCATATCACTGTACTGTTAAGTCCCATGGCTTGAGATGTTCCATAGACACCTAAAAGGGGCAAGCTTGCAACACAATAGGTCCATCCTGCTTTTGTCATTTTGATGAAAGCAGCAGTAGCTTACAGATAGGATATTTGTCTATTTTAAACCTTCCCAACAACTCTGGGCAGTGCATAAGTTAAAAAACAAAGCCACTGTAATAAAACAGATAAAAAATGATAGTGTTCAGGGGCCAACTTTTCCCAACTCATTAATGCAATTTCACTTCAAGGCACATATCTTACCTTACTAGACTCTCAAAAAAACAACAACCTTGGTCTTTAAGACCTGCAGAATCAGGTTGAAACTCCAGTGGGGTACCTGCCTTTTTTACAGAGGGCAGGTACTGCAACTATCAGAGTGTTTACAGTGTGATTACTATTTTGAGACAACCCAGGAAGAAAATACAGGATACACAGTGGTTTTGTCATTACAAACAGTGGTTTATATATAAGACTTCTATATACAGACATACATGTGGTAGGCACATATCAAGCAATCAATCAATCTTCAACTCTACATGGAGAACTACAATGCAGATAGAACACAACAAGGAGAGAGATACACAAGGCGATACACAAGGAGAGAGAGATATGCCCTTTCATGGCCTCCCTTATATAGACATCTTCTTAAAGTGGCAATAACCCTGCTGACTCATCCTGGTGCACAGCCTTACATCGGTTGGTCAGCTTTAAATCTTCATTACCCTGACACAACAGAGAAGGCAAGATTCAAAGGGGCCATCAGATGATACTGTTGTACTGATGAGGCTTGTAGCACCTCCACTTCGTTGACTTTTACAGATGGGCAGAGTCAATAGGACACAGATGTTCTCTTAAATAGTCAAGTCTAATATCACGAAGGACTTTGTAGATACAGCTAGTATACTGAATTGCACCCACGCTTACTACTAAACAATGTAGCTTGCTCAGCCAAGTTGCTACATAACCTCTCATGCTTCAATCTTCTGGACCAGTGGTGGGTTCTTCCTGGTTCGATCTGGTTCGGCCGAGCTGGTAGCGGTGACGATATGATGTCACTGAACCGGTTCTCCCCCCCGCCCCCCCACCCACGTTATTCTTACCTTTTATTTGGTCCCACCCCCAATCTATTGCTGCCTCCTGAGTCCCAGCTGATGACTAGAGGGAAAAAAACTGTTTAAACTCTTGCCGCAGGGCTTCAAAGGGCCACCCTACAGCTGATCAGTGTTAAAAGCAAACAAATGAGTCGGGTCGTAAGTGTGAGGACTGGTTGTAAGTGTGAGGATCTTCCAGAAATGACTCTGACCAGCTAGGCACGCCCACCTAGTCACATGACCTCCAAGCCACACCCACAAAATAAGCCACGCCCACAGAACCGGTAGTAAAAAAAATTAGAACCCACCCCTGTTCTGGACCAGATGCAGCTTCTGAGTAGTCTTCAATGACATTCCCCTATAGAGTTCATTGCAATAGTCCATGCATGGGGCAACCAAGACATTAAGGACTGTGAGAAAGGATTCTCAGTCCCTGGAGGAGTACAATTATATCAGCTGAACCTGGCAAAAGGCCCTCATGATCATAGCTGTCACCTGTTCTTTGAGAGGAACTCTTAGTCCAGGAAATCCTGCTAATTATATATCAGTTCTGTCCTGGGAAATATAACTCTATTTAGAACTACAGATAGGGTTCTGATAGACCTTCCTGGGAGGTACTTAAGGCTCAACAGTCACCCTTCCCCTCACATGACCACACTTTTGCGCATTTACGACCTTTTGCGGCATCCTGTAGTCATGTAACCATATTTTACAATGGTTTTTGGCACAACTGCACCCACAGTGAACTATTGATTCATTTAATGATTGCAGCATTTGCTTTACAACTATTGCATTTTTAAAAGAGGCAACACAATGGAAAATCAACCATGGAATCAGATTTGTCCTTTCTCATCTTCATTTTCCAACTCCATTCCTGCATATGATCTCAAATTCTGTTCTGAAGGTTGGCAGGACTCTTCAGAGTAGATGATGATGATGATGTGAAAGGCTACAAAAATGATAGAGGAAGAAGAAGACTTATTTTGTGAGTAGAAATTATTCCTGCCCATCAAACCATACCATTGGATTCTGCCCCAAGTCTTTATCCGTTGGGTGACATCACTGTCATTGTTCTGTTTGTGGAATTTTGACACAGCTCAACAGAAGCTTCGATTCCATGGACAGGAACAATAAGCTCTGTTGCCTCTGTCTTATATTTTCTCCCAACCCACTCTTCTCAGACAGCAAACTTCTCTTTTACAAACTTAATTGTTGCATAGAAGGACATTTGTGCCCACAATACTGAATATATAAGCATTTGGATTAATAGTTGATGCACTGACCATTTTTACCAGCAAAGGTAAATGCTATTGTTGTATTACACCAAACAATATTAATAAAATGAATTGCTGTCTTTTTAAAATAAATAATTGGAAACTGAAACCATCACTCTTTTGATGATACCAAACTTTTTAAACATAGTGATAAGACACAATTGAGTTAATGGTATAAAGCACGATTGTCTTTGCTTTCTGCAACCAGTGTTTTATTCACAATTTTACAATAGATGTATTTTTTTTTATCGTTTGTTAGACAGAGGTAAGAAATTAAACATCAAGAAAATCACTTAAGAATTGGCTACAGTCTCTAATGTAATAATAACTGGCCGAAGGATCAACCATTTGGGAGAAAAGTAAGTATCATATAAAATATAAAAAGGGTCAGGATTTAAAAAGGAAGAAAAAAAAAAAGCCTGCAACTCAGAATCTACTGCACCGTATCAACAAATTGACTGTAAGGCGAGGGATAAAAAATGAAGGCTTAGAACAAAAGCTTCAGAAAAAATAAAGTGTTGTATCCTGGCCTTCCATTTTGCCTGTGAGAAACAAAAATGATGTGAACAAAATTATGACTATATGAATAATAGAACACCAGAGGTTTAATTGAGTATAAATTCTGCTACAGTTAGATGAATTATATCAACAGGAAAATTAAATTCTAAATGCACTGAATAAGCCCAAGAAATCTGGCACACACAAAGAACACACAGAGGCATCTACTAAAGTGTATCCCTTTTGAAGCCTCTGAAAGTAATTATACTTCCCAAAAACGTACCTAAAATCTGGTTCCTGTCCTGCTAGTGTTTTTTACTGTTGTTTTTGGTTTCATTTTAGTATTTATTTATTTATTTATTAGTTCAATTTATATGCTGCCTTTCTCCGGAGACTCAGGGAGGTTTACAATGCGTTAAGCAATACCTTCATACTTTTGTATATACCTGCTTAGTAGGGTTTTTGGCCCCCCTCAAGTGGTGTTCTTTTTTTATACAAAGTCAGCTTATTGCCCCCACAGTCCGGGTCCTCATTTTACCTACCTCGAAAGGATGGAAGGCTGAGTCAACCTTGAGCCTGGTGAGATTCGAACTTGCAGAATTGCAGGCAGCTGGTGCTAGTTAACAGCACTTTAGTCTGCTGTGCCACCAAGACTCTAGTAGGGAGATGAAGTGATACAGGGCATCAATGCTTCAATGACTCTAAAGCAGGGGTGTCAAACTCATGGCATCACATTGTCGTCATGTGATGTATCGTGACTTCCCCCCCCTCACTAAAATGGGGGTAGGCATGGCCAGCGTGTGATGCATCCGGGCCGCGGGCCACAAGTTTGACACCCCTGCTCTAGAGGGACCTTAAATGCACACAAGTTTAATCATATGAAATATCCAGTGCAAATGTATACGAGGTTTATGGCAGAAGAACAAAGATGCATTAGAACTAGTAAGATTAGACTACTACAAGTGGGATTATTAGAGGGTATTTCAGTTTGGTTTAGTCACTAGGAAAAGATGTAATGTGGTTGGTGCAATTGGGAAATTTTGTCTTGGATCTGTTTTTGTTTAGTGCACTATGTTTTTTTAGGAAGGAAGACACAACTGCACCATGAATTTAAATAGATTTCTCCCTGATTAGATTCCATAAAAGTGGCATGCTACATCATGGTGCAAAGTATGTTTTGTGAATGATAGGGAAGAAACACATGTTGGAGAGATAATGGAAGTGCACGCTTAGGCATCAACTCCAAATTCAGCTCAGCCATCACATCTTTTGTCCACGAACAAAATCTGTTGCCCCCCCCTTATCTCAAAACTATACAACGTGTGTGCCTTCTCATTGTATTTTCAGGTTTAAAAAAAAAACACTCTCACATCTGGCTGCCATTATTTCTCATCTTCACTGCTAGCCCCTGTAGTGGATGGATGGACATCATGATGGATTATTACAAAGTTCTGGACATTCCCCAAAGTGCCTCCATGAATGATATTAAACGAGCGTAAGATAAGTCCTTTGACTCATCTTTTTCCTCATACAATCCCAGCTACCCAAACATGACATTTCTTGCTTCCTTGTAAATTTGCCTTGTGGGACCAGATAACAGTAACTGGTTCCTTTTTTGAAGTTTTGTTCTTGTTATTTGTCATTTAAGGCTATGGCAATGATGGAAAAAAATAACATTACTGTGATGGGATTCCTCCATGGATAATTTAGCCAGAAATCTGATCATAGTCTCGTCCCTATTATTAGGAGTTACTCTCTCTCTCATGTGAATAATGAGAAGCTGTCTGGAATAATGATATAAAAAAAGATTATTTGCTTCCAATATATGTGGATGTTTATATGGAGGGCCGGATCAGTAAAAAACAAAATATTTCATTGTCTGCCTTGGAAAGACAATATCCATTCTGGCAATTTTTGGTATGGATTCTTAAAAACAGGAGAAAAATCATTACTTAGATTTACTGTCATCTAGTATTCATAGCTATTGTATACCTCATCTCCTGATTTATGCAATTCTTAATGCAAATAGCTTGAAAACCTTTTTTAAAAAATGCCATTTACCAATTTCCCAATCTTTTATGTATATATTTATTCAATGCAAGCTTTTCAATGCAAATTTCCCCAATCTGCATTCTTTTTCTATTCCTCTGCTACTTGTGCCATGACAAAAATTCAGTGGAAATATTCAAATTTGCTCCCAACGTAATTCATGGTGGAATTTTTGTATATTCTAGCTGGTTGATCACTAACATTATTGCAGCTTTATTATGGATTTAGTTGATTGGTAATTAACACTTGTTACACTTACGTGAAACTATGCAGGTACCGGAGTAAAGTGCTCAGATGGCATCCAGATAAGAATCCAGAGAACCGAAAAGAAGCTGAGCAGAAATTCAAGGAGATTGTTGAAGCTTACAAAGTCCTTTCAGATAGTAAGAACCCTAGTTCCTTTCTTATGCTCTTCTCTTTTTGGGTCTTTGAAGAGATTCAGTAGTTCACTCTCATTTATTTTTGATCAAGTAATCCAAATACAAAACATCTAGAGCATAGATGATGACTGACACTGGAATGAATTTAGATGAAAGGTAGAAATTAAAATAAAAAAAATATATAACACCCACCAACATTACATTCATTACATCAATGAAGACTCGGTCATCTAGGCCAAAGGTGTCTAAAGGTGGAATCATGTAAACTGGACCATGATTGTAAGCCACTTGGGGGAGAAACCCCTGAAATTGGTATGGCAAGAGTTGGTACAAGTCTGTAGAGATTCTCAGTCATCCCCAGGTCATGGCTGTCTCAAAGATGCTTTTTCAGGAGGCAACTTGACTTCCTTGTTTTTCCTTTGAAGATGTTTAGCTTCTCATCCAAGAAGCTTCTTCAGCTCTGACAGGATCCTTCCTTTCCCACCATCCTTCCATTCCCCACCATCCAGTCAGAGCTGAAGAAGCTTCTTGGATGAGAAGCAAAATGTTTTCAAAAAGTCCAGTTGCCTCTTGAAAAAAGCACCTTTGGGACAAGAGTTGGTACATTCCAACAACACTCTGACTTTCTGCCTAACTAATTTTGCTCTGACTGATGAAGTTGCTTGGATGAGCAATGAAACGTCTCAAGATTAACAAAGTTTGGTTCAGTTGCCATGATTCAATCTTTAGACATTCCACAAATGAGTTCTCCTTCCAATTCTGTATAGTAAATTGATGCAACTTTGATTTCCTCCAAATGCATATGAATACCTGACTTTCTGTTCATGTAATCAAGATGCTTCAAATAAAAAGGATCTGTATATTCTGCACATATTGTAGGCTTGTTGACCCATTTGATCTTTCTTGGTTTTCCCTTTAGCGGATTAAAGAAGTGAGCTTCCATCAGTGAGATATAATTCTCTTGTTTCTTTCCTTCCCTTTGCAATTCTTTGTGTGACTTCCAAATTAGCTCTGGAGGCTTGGCTGGAGGTGGAATGAGGTGGGCAGTTCCCTCAGAACAATTTTTAGTGCAGGCTATACAGGGAAGAGAAAAATCGTACCACTCCATTCTGCCAATATTGGAAGTATGCAATTGAATTTTACTCTTTCAGGGTCTCTCTTTGTGTAGCTGTCTATCTGAAAACAGGTATCTGCTATTTCTGGTTTTATAAGCCTTTTATTATTTCTTTATGGCATCTCCTTGTACAGTAATGGTGAGCTGCTATTTAGGAGATCGGAAGCAATAACCTTGGAATTATTCAAACCTAGTGATATGGAGTCAGCTTTAAATTCCCATAGGTTAATGTCTCTTTTATTCCAGAAAGTACTCGTATCCCTTATGATGGAAATAGCAAAGATACTTCCAAAGGAACAAGTAAGTAAACTAGAGAAAGACATAAGGGTCTTTTAAAATCAGATCAATTATTTCATCAAGGGCTTGATACCTTTCATAATAATGAATATACACCATTGACCTTCTTATACCCTGTGATCTTCAGTAAGGAAAATAGAGACTGGACTATTTAAAAAGCTTTGGAGGAAACCAAAACCTGTTTTTTCATCTATTTAGATGTGAACTACTATCACTTATAAAACAGCAATAAGAAAAAAAATATGTGCACTCTAGCTAGGAATTTTGGAGGCTACCATCTGACAGATGAGATATCATCTTAGAGCAAGGCCTGTTTTAGAGGCAGGGTCATCCAAATTATGGCTTAATATTTGAAATTGACAGATAAATTGACACCTTTTATTCAAAGCAGTAAAAGAAATAGTTAAGATATAATAGTTTGTTTCCTCAATATTTGGACTCAGAGGTTACAAATATCTGGTAGAGAATGGTATAGTTGAGTTTTATTTAGTTTAATTTTTAATCCAAGCAAGAAGAGGCTTTGCAAACATGATTATCAAAGACAAGCTATTCTGTGCAAATGGAAGGAATCAATCTCTGAGCAAAGATCTCTACTGATTGCTTTTCTTAATATCCCCATAGATCATTGAAAAAGAAAATGCAACAGTTTGGATGATATTATTTCTCGTTAAAGTCATTTTCTTTATCCAGCCCTCACTGCATACATACGTAATGGTCTCATTTTGTCTTATTTTCTCTCCTTAGAAAAAAATGGAGATGAGAAACACTTATCAGTATTTGATCAGGATGGCATCAAAATATTCTTCACAAGACAGCGTTCCTCTTCCGGTAATATTATATGTAAACCCAATCTAACCCCCATTTTTCACAATTAATTTGGAATACTCATCATTATACTTTTTTCTGCAGTAAATTAGCCAGACCTTCTTTTTTAATAGCCAAATTTGAAGGATTTTGACTGAACTGGAAATTTAGTTTAACAGAAAACAAAGCAGATATAAATGATATAAAGGAAAAACAAAATATTTTTCATCATGTGTAGACAAAGTTTTATTGTTGGTTCCCTGCTTTGATGAATTTGGCCTTTGGGCATTTAATTCTTTATTAGCAAATTTATATCATCATTCCATCTTAACTAAATAACACTGGATGGCTTATAAAACACTTAAATAAAAACTCTGTGTCAAAGCCGTAAGGCAACACCAAATTAAAATAATTGAGGCTCTTCCCATAACTGTCTAATTACACAACAATAAAACATATATACAGGCTCCACTAATCTTCTGTCCCCAGGAGGTCTTCAATGCTTGTATGATGAGATACCATGGCAACAGAAATAAAAATGGAGGGAATCAGATTATTTTACTGGGCCACCAGAAGGAAAGCAGAATGGAAAATAATTCTAATCTTCATTTATTTAACGGTGGGAGAAAATAGAGAAAACCAATAGAGAAGTCTGCAGGACAGAGAATTTGTGAAGATGTTTGGACGTTGATGGTAATAACATTTGTTTAAAGAGAAAAGCAAACACATTTAGAAATGATTCATCATACATATATGTCCTCTGTGTTTCAGATTTTTCTGTATCATTCTTCAGTGCCCCTAAAAGATTCCACCACTTTTCCATCATGACTGCTATCATCAATGGCAAAAAGATCACAACCAAAAGGTAAGATGCAAAGTGGATGCCTTTCTATGACTCCTTCACTTGATACTTAGATCTCTCTGTACAGAAACATTAATGTTTTATTCATGTCTGAAAACCTTCACGCACCAACAGTCTAATACAAAAATTAGGACTGGTTGAGAAGATCTGCATTTTTTTCTACCAGTTCTCATTCACTTTGATAAAAGGAGAACTAAAAAACCTTTCAAAGGGGAACAAAATTCTGTATTTTCCTCCTTAGGTATCAATGATTTTAACTAACAACCTTGCCAAGAGAATAATATGTGGGTGAAAGTATTGCCTTTTATTGCACAGTTATCTTTTCAATTATTGATAGTTCCATTGATTTCCCATGCTTCAAGGGAAGACCAAGGGAGGACTTCAGCCCAAACTGGGCATTTTTCAGTTGTGATGCCACTGCTTCTTAGAGAAATATGTAGAAATGTCTGCCCCATTTCTCCACTTGAAAGCTGGTTAAGAATTTGCGTCCAAAACTATTGTTTCCCTGATATACGACTTAATAGTAGTCAAATAACAGATTTTTGTCTTTTACACATTGCAAAATGTGAAAGGTGGTGATAAGCACTTTTCTTTTCTTTTGTCGTTTTAATAGTTATATTAATCACTGTATATCTAGCTTTCTCTCTGTTCCTTGTAGAGTGGGGGCAAAAAAGTTAGAGTTGTGAAAGTCTGAGGACTTTGATTTTAAAATATTGAGAGGGAATATTATTGAATATATTTGAGACAACAAAATATGGGTTAGTAACATTATTTCTCAGTCACACTTATGCCAAAACAATTTAATACCTTTTTAAAAAAATGCAGGATCACATTTTTAGGAAAGTCACCCACATGCAGAGAAGTTTTAACATTAAAATTCTAATGGAGAATTTTTGAAGGATCATTATTTTCTTCCCAAATAAACTGAAACTTAAAAGAAATTTTTGAAGTGTGGATGTTCAAATCTTTCCTGAGGAGAATTCTTGTATATAGTTAAATTGTATGAAAAATGAGAGGCAGCAATATCTTTATACTGCTATAAGGATATATCAGGAGCTCACATTTTGAAGGATAAATTGATTCTTAAGTAAAGTTTACTTTCCGTTGAATTCAACCTTTGTTGACATTTTGGATGCATCCTATAACCCTTATATTCTCTGCTGGCTTCCCATCAAAGTATACTAACCAGGTCTGATCCTGCCTGTCTTCTCAAAATCAGCCAAGATCTGTTAGAAACAGTAAATAATTCAGACTGTCAAACTGCATAACAAACAAAACCTGTTAAGTTGCTTTGAAGTCTAAGCAAGAAATTACGAGTGCCTTTCCTAGAACCATTATATAAGAATAATAATGAAGTAACTGACCAATACCTCTCCTTTCAGGCATCTTGAGAATGAAAGCAAGTACTTGGAAGTTGAAGAAAATGGGAAGACGGTATCTATCCATGTAAATGGTAAATTTGAATGGGTCAGATGACACTTTCTTCTTTCCAGTGTGAAATATTGCTTTTAGTGTTCATGAGACTTCTCAAAGGCACCTGATTTTTCAAGAAAGCACTTTGTGTGCCTTAATAAAAATTGTGACCCCCAAGACATTTCTGTCTCAGGGAGGGCAAAGAGCTAGGTAGGCAGGCAAGCAGATAACATACAAATGTCAGCAATCTCTTCCTACAGAATTCAAGATGAATTGGAGGGACTTAGCTTTCTTTTTTCTGAATTGTAGGCCTGAAGGGATCCAACTAAAATAGGTGAATAGAATTCTTCCCAAAGAGAGTCAAATACAGAGGGAAAAAACACTAGAACTAAAAAAAGAACTAATTTGCACTCGGTTTTATAATCTGAATGTGTTCTGTTGCAACATTATGCTGTATTTCCAATTTGTCTGCAACAGCAGAAATCAAGAAAGAAGGTTAATCAAAGGCACTGTTTATAATGAAACAAACTGCTTTCTGCAATACAAGCAAAAGTAATTGGTTAAATATTACTATACCACATTCAATTAAAGGCATTAATTCTTATTATCTGTCCTACAGCTCTTTTAATGGTCTGTCTGTTAGGTTTTGGTTTGGAGCATTGTACAAATCCAGTTACTGTAGCTTGTATACCATAAATTATGGCTTAGTAAATTGTGGAAATCTAGAAAATTGTAATTTATTAAACAAATTATGGTTAAATATGGTCTCAAGGGTACGAGGCTGGACCTGGATAGAATTGAAGCAATCACCCTCAGGAACTGTCAAGCTAACAAACTCAATGAGTTTGTTTGGTACTCAATGAGTTTGATACAAAATCTGTTGTATACCCTGTAGTGTTAACCAAACTAACCATTAAGAGTTTTATTTTTCTTTTACTGAATTTTATCTATATACATCCATATAATCTATATACATTTATCTATATACAATTTTATCTATATACATCCATATTTCATCTATATGGAATATATTCTAGAAGTTATAAAGATTCAACATTGCTTTTGGGGGAAATTGTCTTCATTTGTGTAGCATTACTACCACTCTTTTATGTGTGGTTTGATTCAGCAACTGATATTAATAGCTTACTGGGTATTTTGACAACTATTGACCAACCATTGGCTGAACAGTTGCTAGTTGTTTATATTCTTATAACATATGTTAAATTTTGATGTTAGCATACTGGGAGTTTTGCTGCATATTATTTATTCCAGCTGTTATAAACACAGACTGTTATGCCTACATAGAAGTAAGTTATACTGATGGACAGTAAATTCTACTAAGTAGAAATTACTCTTTTAAGACATGTAATTGTAACCTAAGGGAACCTGATTATGAATCTACATACTTGCTCCAGAGTGTTGTCATGTGTGGGGGAAAAAAAAGAACATAATAGAACCAGATCAAGATATTTGGCTTGGTTGTCCAAAATACAAAACAATGATTCATAACCTACAGATGTTAATTTGATTCCCCAGGAGATAAACTTCTCAATACTGGAGTATGCTAGCATCTTCCACAGCATCTGATCATTCTCTCCTTCTGGGGAAAAAGGGCCAATCATGCTGCAGATACTATTAGCTCTTTGAATGCTAATATGTTCTGCAAGTAGTGTTGTGAGTGATCTTGGCTTGTCACCAACTGTTAGTCAAGGATACCTTACAAGTCTGTAGGGAGGATAAAAGACCATGTGTGCCACTTAGACCTCCTCAAAGCAGGAAGAACAAATTATAAAACAAAATACAAACACCGAGGATCATTTTATGATTTTCAGATTACTTTTGCCTGATGTTTCCAGCAGAAAGCTTAAATCAAGTAAGATAGACATTAATTTTTTTCTCTCAATCAGTGACTAGAAAGTTTAAAAATTCTCCTATTTGCAAATACTGAGCCATGAAGTAAGGATGAGCCTTAATCATATACCTATTTCTGTAGTTGAGTAATGAATTCTGCTTCTTGCAGGGATTCCAGTTTATGACAGAGAATTTAATGGATCAGTAGGAAGTTTGGCTTCAGCTTGCAGGCTGGACAAGGGACGCTATCGTCCACACAGGCGGCGTTTCTGGACTTATGAAAAACGGCAGTGGGCTGATGAATGGCGGCAGTGGGCAAGTAAATGGCGGGACTGGGCTGAAGAGTGCCGTGAATGGGCTGAAGGAAAGAACAAGACAAAAAATCAGGATAATGCTGGGCATCACCAGGCAAATGCAACAGAACATCCAAAAGCTAGTCAAGAGCATCTCAAGTCAGACAAGAATTGTCCTAGGCCAGGAGGAAACCTTCATGGATTTCCCATGCCGGGGGAGGGGAAATGTGATTCAAAAGAAGGCCATAGCAAAACAAATAAAGGATCACCTCAATCAGAAGAGGAACACTTCAAGCCAGATACAGGATACTTTATTTTTCCAAAACCAGGTGAGAAAAGTCCTCAGATGGATGAAGGGCGTCCTAAGTCAAGCAAGAGGCAACCCAAACCAGAGGAAGGGAACATTTTGCGAAATGTTGGTATTGCTAAGTCAGGGGATGGACCTGCAAATCAGGATGAGGGACATCATAGAACAAAATATGGGAAGCCAAAGTCAGAAGATGGTCAGGCCAGGCCAGGGAAAGTGCATCTTGGATTACAGAAGTCAGACCAAGAATTTCCTAGTCCTAAAAATTCAGATCCCAAGGGCACTGCCACTCCTAGGAAACACATTTCTGAATGCAACTCTCAGGCTGAGACAGGTGAACCCCACACTGAGAAACAGGAGCCAGAGTCTGAAGGTAACAAGAGTCATGCTGTGAACCTTGAAAAGAAAAATCTAAAAGATGAAAAATTGGAAATAGAAGTCCAGAAAGATGGGATTCCATTAGAGTCTGAATCAGAGAAGAGAATCAAACTAAATGTTCAAGAGATAAAGTATTGTCTTGATCCCAAACAGACTTGTGAAGGACAAATGTCTGGCTATAGTGCGACAAGGTTGTCCCTGAAAAGGAAAGAGCTCCAAATTCAGACAAGAAAACTATATGTCAAAAGAAACAAGTCTCAGGTTAGGACCAAAATACCCTACAGCTTTAGGAAGAACAAATCTCAGGCAGGAAAACACAGGAGTCCTGATGGGCATAATAGAAGAGAGTTGGACGGGAGATTCTACTTTAATGAACGCATAGAGACGATTCCTGTTGGAAAGAAGTCACCTGCAGGTAATAGATATCTTTTCACAAATAGAAAGAAAGCCCCCCTCCCACCCCTCCCAAAAGGTGAAACTCCTTCCCAGGCAAAAAAGAGACTGCCCAGAAGAAGGGCATATCCCTCATTTGACGTTCAGAGTGAAAAGCTTCATTCTACTTCTGAAGCCAGGCAGCCTTTGAGCACACATGGCCAACAGCAAAGGAAGATGACGAAATTGCCTTGGGTCAGTGGACACCTTCCAAGTATTCAGGGTCGGAAGCTTGGAATGAATCAGTTCCCAATTATGAATCGTTGACCATTTGATGGGTGCAATCAAGCTAGCATTGAGCAAGGTCGATTTCTGTGGTTCACAACTTGTGAACATCCAGATTTCTGTATTCCAAGCGGGTGATGCAGAATACTACATTGTTGGGCTTCAACAGAAGGGAGAGTTCTAAGAGTTAATGGTCAGTGAAGGAGGTATTTTTTTCCCCCAATAAAGGAAATTAAATGTAATTCTTATTGTTCTCTAATATGTGTATGATATTGGATGAGAAACAGGAATTACTCTGGAGATATTCATTCAGACCAAATTTGCTCTAGATTTCTGCATTCAATCTTTTGTATCAACATTCCAAAATCAAAATATATTTTAACTTATTATGCTTTTGTTCAGTTTACATTACTTGATGTATTCCTAAGCAAAATACATGTTTGTATGTTTTAGAGGAGAAAGACAGGAATTTACATGCTATGCCTATCTGAAGCTTCAGTGCAGCTGTAATTCAAATTTAATCTTTGAACCAAATCATTGGATATATCAAGTTGAGTCAGGGGTGTTCAAGTAAAAAACGAATGGACTTTTTTCTGAATATAAATTTGAGTCAACTTGGTTCCTTGAATCAAGTTACATATTTGAAGCATACTGGGCATTAGTTGATTTAATATCACTAATAAGGTGATCATAAAATTATGTTTTTCTAACAATGGAATAAATGCATAGTAAATCCGGAAGGTATCCCACTAGATCTATTGAGATTTGACTTTGTTGATTACCACATAGCCTTCCAGTAGAAGCCACAATGATGTCATAAGCATAATTATATGATTTAAATAACTCAGATTATATTGTTTGCATCAGTTTGCATATGTTGTCATGTTGATGTTGATGGCATGGCATAGATGATGTCATAGCATAGATGATGTATAGTATGTCATTTGCACAATGATGTCATGGTGTGCCTGACATCTTGCTTCCCTTTAGATACCCATGAGTAGTCATGAAAGCCTAATTATGAAATACAGTATATATCCCCATAGCATAACCAATGCATTTTATCTGCAACTCAGCTAGATATCATTAAAGTATAGAATATGTATTCTACACTTTAAAAGTTAAGAAGATTTTTTTTTTTTGCCTTGAAGATGCCTTGTCAAATCATATCTTGGCTAAAATTCAGCAGTGCTTCATGAAATATTGTTTTTCAGGCTGAATTAAGTTCCTAAGCTGTCAATTGCAAACCCCAGAATAACCAATACAATAAGATCAATGGAATATCTAATTTCAAATGAGTTTGATGCATTGGATATATCATCCAGTTTTCTTGGCAATAACATGGAAGGTTCTTTTCGCCTTTTATCTCCATCATTTAAAAACCTGCTATTTCCTGATGATTTTCTACTCAAATACTAATCAGGTCAAACCTTGCTAAAAAAAATAAATCAGATAAGATGATGTAGATGCTGGCATTTGGCCAAGCTACCAATATCAGTATTAAGATAAATGTATTTTGTGGTATGTAAGAACAACAGTGTCTTTTCAATGATCATGCACAAAAGGCTGTTTGAGATATCAGCCAGTTAAATTTAATAGCTTTTATTTGCCAAGTAATTCTTTGCTATGCAAATGTCTCATGAATTTGTAACAGCGTCTCTCATTTCTGCTTTTGTGCTCAATACCACCATCACATGATTAAAAAAAACCATTATAAATGAGATGCAGCAAACCAGTTTTAAATGGTAATGCTTGTCAGCAGTCTTGCTTGCTATATATTATGCCTTGAACTTTTATGTGAAATTCACTGTTTCCTTTGGGGCAACCAATGTTATGCAAAATGCTAAAACAACAAGAAGAAGGAAGAGGTAGCAAAAAAAAAAAAAAAGCTATAAGACAAAAGAAAAGGAAATATAGATACCGTAAATCTGCTTTACACAAACACAATTTCTGTATACTTCTCCATATCTTGACTATACACTATCCATATTTCTACCATATCTACCAACTGTTTCATACATTCTTAAACTTCTCACTTTTTTCTTTTTAAGGATCTCATTAACTCCATCGAACCGTGACTTTCTTAGTCCTCCCCTTTCTCTCAACCCATTTACTTTTCCTTTATATATTTGTTCTGTAATTTGATTCTCCTACTTTCTCTCTATATGCCAAAAACTCCTCAGCGTTTTTCTTTACTGATCCCTCAGTTTTTGTTCAATCCCAATTCACCGAGCACTCATTCATTTTTGATTCTGTTTCTTCTAGTTTTAACACCTACTGCATTCAGCTTACTTTTATGTTTTTCCTGACAAACAATTTTCACTTCCATATAACAAAGAAGGCAAATGGTATAATAAAATATTGCTTACAAAATATATAAACTTTTATGTATAAATGATGAACAAGTTATTGCCAAAATATATAAACTTTTACTGAAATTTGAAATAGAAGAACTTTGTGCATGAGACAAGAACTCATTGTATTCCAGTTCTAGCCTGGTACCTTAATCGCTACATTAAACTGGTGTAATTTAATAGCAGGTAGAAATAAGAAAGGTGGGCAGAGGAGAAAGTTTGCAGAATGAGTTAGATCAGATACTAATAATTGAAATTTTTAGTTAGAATTATAACTGACTCAGAGGTATTTTTCAGGCTTAAACATTATGCCATCTGCTTTAGGAATCTCCCTGCATGAAATGTGTTGCACTGCATATTTATAAATAATTATTTATATTGAATATTTAAAAGTAAATACAATAGATGTATAATGTACTGGACTACAATGTGCTTTATCTTTCACACACACAAAATCCTCTGGAAAAAAGGCAGTCCATGAAATTTCCTACTGCTGAAGAATACAGAATGAGCTTCGCTTTGTATCTTACAGTGGAGGTTAACTCTCCTTATCTAAGTGCTATTGTACTATCAGTAGGAGGAGAAGAGGGGGAAGTGGAGAAAAAAAGAATCTTAAAATAATACCAAGATCCTAGTACTAGTCAATCTCCTGAGACTTTCACAGCAATTTTGAGGAATATTCTAATATTCTACTTCTTTCATGATATAGGCATTATTTCAGAGTAGACATGTCATCTGCCTGACATCATTATCATTTATTATCATAAATAATTTTAATTATAGTTTATCTCCTTAATTCTAAGCAAATGTGATAATTCCAAGGTTGTTTCTCTCGCATTGTATTATGCTACATTGGATGTGAAAGGCAGATGTAGGACTGTTATTAGTTTCTTCTAATACCTCCTCTAGTTTAGAGGTAGTTTATCTTTAATGACTTGTTTATTCATTCAACAGTTATTAAGACATCACTCTTCAAAGGCCTTATTATATAATTAATATATCCTATCTGGCTTAGTAAATGAATGGTTGAGCAGGGAATTATTTATTAGATGGACAAAACTCACACTCCAAATGAAGCTGTACATTTGCTTTTACCTGTCACAAAACAGGTTAAGGACAATTTATTTGTTTTTTGTGAGTTTCTTTTTTTCCCCTTCTAGCATGGAAAGTGTAAGAAACTTGCCCGACCGTTCTTCTGATATTATTACATTTTAGTAATAACATCAGGAGTAAATAAATATAATGCAGGTACATTATTAAAACTTTATTATGTAGAGTAAATAATTTTTAAATGTTGAGTAAATAAGTTTTAATATAGATGCTTTTAGATAGCTTCAGAGTTTTCTTTTCCCTCGCCCCCCAAATGCAAATAGGATAAAAGAGTTAATTCTTAGTACAGAGAATAAATTTTGTTTGAATTTCCACACACAAGTGCTCCAGGAAGGAAACGGCGAACCAAAGAGGACTTTGCTAGGTGGAACAAATGAAAATAATGGAATAAAGAGCTAGTGAGTAGACTGGCTCTTTATAATTCCACTCTAGACAAAGAAAAGTATTGAAATGGCCCATAAATGCTGCAGACAGTTGCTCCTCATGAGGCAACCACAAGACAGTGGTCTCAGTTTGGGCCTATAAGGTCATTGGACTTGCATATTTTGAAAGTAGTTACAGTTTCAAAAATTGCTTGTTTTCAACTACAGGAATCTTTGGATCAACATAGCACTGAGTGAATTTTCTTTAATCCTTACTGACCTGGATAATTTTCTCATATTCTCCACTTTGTCTAGCAACTTCATCAAAAGGGGTCTGATCATTCAACCTAACAGAGCACAACCAACACAAGCTGTGCAAAGGATAACACTGCCATACATCAAAAACATCTCAGAAACCACCAACAGACTATTACAACCACATGGCATCACCATAGCATACAAACCAATTAAAACCTTCCAAAACATCCTAGCAGCTGAGACTGCTGGAGACCCAGCAGCTCCAGAAGAAAAAAACAGGAGTCATCTACAACTTGCAGTGTAAAACTGCAACAGCCATTGTGTAGGACAAATAGGCAGAAGACCAGCAGAACACATCTATGAACTAGCAGTCAGAAGACATGATGAAAACTAATTTCACAACACATGGACAGACTCAACCATAGTTTCAATTGGGAAACTGTGAACATTCTAGATCAAGCCAAGTCCAAAAATGTTAAAAAATTCCTGGAAGCCTTGGCATCATATCAACAGGCACATAGACATAAACAACTTCTATGTACTATTCAAAAGAGACAATTACAAGCCAAAAAGAGAACAAATTATCAGAACCAGGGGTAAAATTCAGCCGGTTCCTACCGGATAATGCGATACGGTAGGGCTAACTGCACGAAGCCATGCCCACCCATATGGACATCATGACGTTGCTGTTTTGCAACGATTTTCAGCCTCTGCGCATGCGCAGATGGCTTTGCGCATGCACAGACGATGGCACACACACATTTGTGAACTGGTAGGGAAGGTAAGTGAATTTCCCTCCTGATCAGAACACATCTTATCAGCAATCAACACCAAGATGAGCAGAGATTAACACCAAGATTAACATTAGACTAACAATCAACAAGCAATCAAGAAAGTGAGAAACAAGCTATCAGTAAACAGCCCAACCAAAGATTTTCCAAGACTACTCCCACCAACACACAGAGGGCAAGCCACTAGAATATAAAATGAGAGCAAATTTCACTCCCTTTTAAGCACTGATAATATTACTTACTGTAGCTTGGGTAATAAAACATCTGTAAGAAAACAATCAAGCTCAACAAGGACTGCTCAATTCTATGATAATACCTAAATGTAGTTAGCAACAAATTAAATGTATGCAATGTTATGGTAGTTTCA